CCAAATCTCTTCTACTGTCCCCACCTGTTGTTGTCTCTGCCCCCTCCTCCCTCCGCTCCTCCTCCTCCTCCTCCTCCCCTCTCGCCCTTGAACAGAATGTCACTGAGCCATTCTGCACTTTTTTGGCCGTATACTTTTATATTTAGATAGAGCAGCGAAAACCGGGCTAGTGTTTCCTCGCGCGCCTATATCGCACAGTATGTCAGTGTTATACGTGTGAGGGGAGGAAGGAGGGAGGGAGGAGGGAGGAGGAGTGCATTGTGGGAGCGGGGCTGGAGCGGCCGGGTGTTGAAGGCGACACTAGCGCGGGGCTGGGGGCTTACGCCGGTGTTCAAACTTAGCCTGTTGTGGGGCAGGACGCGTGGGGTAGGACGCCGGGAGCCCCTGCCCCTGGCCCTACAAGGAGAGCAGGGTCAGCGCTGTCAAAAGCAGCGCCGCACTGTGCACGGACAAATGCTCTGTTCTCGTCCGCTGCATTGTGTTGTTCGCATGCACCCACACTCGCACGGAAACTCATCTGACCACAGCTACAAGGGCTTTTTTATGGAGTAAGAAAGCTTTCAGAAATATTTGCGTGCATAAGATAGAAATTCGTGCATATTTGTCCGTAGTTGAGCATAAAATAAATATTTGTAAACTCTCGAATGAGTCCAGTCGTACATAAAATGTATTTTATCCATCAGAATATGAATTGAAAACGACGTCAAGAATTACAATCACAAAATGAAAATGTACGATTACGCTTTTTTCAGTACGAATTTACGGCAAATATAAAAAAAATACAACATCAACATTGATCAAAATGCTGGACTTTTGCACCACATATGGACTGAACCAGGACTGAACAAACCAGGACTAAACCAAGACTGAACCAGGACTGAACAAGGACTGAACCAGAACTAAAACAGTAAATAATCGTAGATTTTCATTTCGTGATTGTAATTCTTGACGTCGTAACTTTTCAATTCGTATTCTGATGGATAAAATACACATAACACATTTTATGTACGACTGGACTCACTCCAGATTTTTACGAATATTTATTTTATGCTCAACTACAGACAAATATGCACAGATTTCCCAAATATGCATGGATTTCTTAGCCAGGCTGGCACCACCTAGTGCCTCTGCTCAATTTCAATTCTCTCCAGCGACTAGGTCAGGAATCAGAATACACTAGACAGTTTGAAAAAATCCCTTAAGTGTGAGTTTGGGCACCAGCCAATCAGCAAAGAAACAAACATTCTGTGTTGTCAACGATTCCCGAGATTGAGGATTTAAAGTCGGAACAAAGAGAATGTTTCGATGAATTTTATCAAGGGGAAAGACGTTATTGCCCTTCTTAAATAAAAAACCCGCCTACCATCGAGCGAACGAATCCTAATGCTGCGAGGTCAGACGGTTTCTACGAAGTGAAACCGGCTGATGAATCAGGCTATGGATTTCTATCCTCTGCACACAAATATTTCTGAAAGTTTTCATACAGTGCTCCATACTTTTTTCTGACATTCTGTTTTAAACACGTCCACGTCACATTTCAGACTGTGTTTGTACAAATCTAAACTACAGGGTGAGCAGTTTTTATGCACAATAACCCTGGAGATTTTGTTTGTGGAAGAAATGATGGTACTTCAAAAATTGCAGCCTCTGTGTCCATTCAAACTGTGATCTTGATTAGATTGAAATTAACCGTGCAGCCTTAATCGCTGCGTTCAAAGTGGACACAAAACAAGCTCTGTGCTTCCAGTGAGAGTGATGACATCTCATTATTTGTTATTTTATACACTGCACAGATATAAAAAACGATAGTTGATGGACTTGTTTCTTTTATTAAGTCATTTTAGATCAGTATTTCAATTTAAAATGTGCAAATGACGACATAATGATCCACGGGTGTCATAAAGTGCAACTACAGAGCAACCACAAGCTCATTATGTTTGCTATAAAATAAGTAAAGACAGTAAGAAAACATATTTCTCGAATTAAGACATGATTTTAAATTGTTAGTTCATTGAAGTTTCTGTCCTGCTTCAAGAAATTACATCTAGTTTCAAGACAAAACATTTGCAAGTGGAATATAATCATAGTCAAGGTAAATTATCTGAATTATACCGATTAGAAATCTCACGAAACTTAAATACGATGACAAATCTACTCCAGTTCTGGTCTAGTCCTGGTTCAGACCCGGTTAAAGTCCTGGTCTAGTCTCATCCTGGTCAAAGATGGTGAGCGCTTCTTCTCTATGAATAACAAACCCGTCCCATGCCCCGTGAGCCGCCTCGTGCCTCGTGCCCACAGCCGGGCGACCCTCTGTCTGCAGCCCTGACCTGTTTACCAGCTGACCCCTGCCCTGACCTCTGATTGGACGGCAGTTGTCACCTGACCATCACCTGTCTCTGTCTGAAGTGTCGGCTCATCTTGTGTGGCCCTAAAATAAGACTCACCCACTGTCCAACTGTCCAAATGTCCAACTGTCCATCAACCAAATGTCCAAACTCACTGCGCTCAAATACCCAGGTACTTTTTCTTTGTTCTTACTCTGGTTCTTTTTCTGCACGATCACAGTAAGATTTGACACTAAGATTTGAGCTGAAGAAGTTTGAAAAATGTACTTCTTCGCCTCATTATAAATACAAACAAATTACTTCACTGTTGCAGCTCATATTTTTAACTATATTGTACCTTTAGAAAAGTTTTGGGAGGTATTTCTGCTTCATGGTTTGGTTTCAGAGTTGTCATGTGTTGTCTGTATTTGGCGTGATCGTGACAGGCTCATGCACAGGTAAATGTGAGTCCGGACTTGACGGGAAGTTTGTCTCATTCAGGGTTGTTAGTTAGTCAGACTGTCACCAGCTTGTGCCTCCGCAGGACTCAGGACTAAACCAGGACTGAACCAGGACTAAAACAGTAAATGCTCAACTACAGACAAATATGCACAGATTTCCCAAATATGCACGAATTTCTTAGCCAGGCTTGCACCACCTAGTGCCTCTGCTCAATTTCCATTTCTCTCCAGCGACTAGATGAGGAATCAGAAAACACTAGACGGTTTGCAAGAACCTCAGAAATGTGAGTCCGGGCACCAGCCAATCAGCGAAGAAACAGACATTCTGTGTTGTCAACGATTCCCGAGATCAAGGATTTAAAGCCGGAACAAAGAGAATGTTTGGTGAATTTTATGAAGGGGAAAGACGTTATTGTCCTTCTTCCTACGGGATTTGGGGAAAGCTTAATATCCCAGTTAACCCTGTTAGCGGAGCATTACAGACGTCACGACCAAATCGCAGCGATTGGTTAAATTAAAAAAGTACCTGCCTACTGTCGAACGGACAAATTCTAACACTGTGAGGTCAGACAGTTTCTACAAAGTAAAACGAAGTGAAACCGGCTGATGAATCAGGCTAGTTGTTAGTAGGTGTGTGCAAAAATATCGATATATTGTATTGTTTAATGTGATGATTCAGTATCGATATTGTGGGCTGCTGTATCGATATATTGCCAAGAGTATTTTTTGGTTTATTTTACTCAATTATCTTGTTACAGTGCAACAGTTTTGTTGTTTATGTGACACATTTGACATTTTCACTGTTTTGGTGATTAAAATGTTGTGTGTTTCATTTTAACTTTGCACAAGAAGTGGTTTAACAAAGACTTTTAGTATCACAACCTTTATTTTTATTGAACCGTATCAAATTGATTTGAAATATATCGTACCGAATCGAATCGAAACCTCGAGTGTGTACGTATCGTATCGAGGTGTGTATCGTATCGTATCAAGGTCTGTATCGTATCAGCAACTTCTTAATGACACCCAGCCCTACTTTTTCAAGTTTTTCTAGATTTTCAAAAAGCAAAAAGTGACCATGTGTCCAGTCCCAAAACAATAAAACCAGTAAACTCAATAAAAGCAACACCATAAAAATCATAAAACTGCAGTAAAGTAGTACAATAAAATAAAAGGCACAGAGGAGCACAAGACTAACACAGTGTAAAAAGCCACAGAGAATAAAAGTGGGTCTTAAAACGAGACTTAAAACTCTCCACTGTGGGGGCAGAGTTTTCTAGTGTTTGGAACCGACCACAGAGAAGGTCCTGTCCTCCCTGGTTTTAAGTCTCGTCTAAGGAACCACGAGGAACCTCATGTCATTTCTTAAAACTGACTTAAACTCCTGACTTCAGAACAGGGCTGCAAGATTAATCATAAACACATTGAAATAACCGTCCGATGAGGTTCATGTGGTCTTCTGATCATTTATGTTATTAGGTTCTTTTTCAGACCAAGAGTTTGTTTTCATACTTGACAGTTTTCACTGCTCACAAGCGAAAAATGGAAAAAAACGGATAACAATCGATTCCCGTTTACATGACTTCTGTGACTGCGATGCCGGACTTTTGTGCCGCATACGGACTGATCCAGGTCCGGGACCAGACCAGGACCAGAATGGGACCAGATCGCTACTGAGACCGGGACCAGACCGCAACCAGACCGAGACTGAGATCAGAACTGAAACCGGGACCAGGAGTCAAAACTCGGAGTTCACTCTGATCCTGCTCTGGTCTCGTTCTGGCCCCAGTCTGGTCCCGGACCTGGATGAGTCCTGGTTCAGTCCATATGCGGCACAAAAGTCCAGCATCGCAGTCACGGAAGTCACGTAAACGGGAATCGATCGTTATCCATTTTTTCCATTTTTCATTTAAACACAAAATCGAAAACTGAAAAAACGAATCATTATCTGTTTTTTCATTTTGGTTTTGGAGACAAATAATGAAGAAAACTGTTTTTGTTTTTTTTTTTCATTTTCTTATTTTTGGTTTTATATTGAAAAACAAATGACTGAATGATACACGGATTATTCATGCTTCTGTCTTTTAACCAATTCTTGTGGACACTTTTAAAATGTGACTTTTTGAATTTGAATCCTTTTATTAAAACATAAGTCTGTCAAAAAAAACTAAATCCCAAATCCTTCAGCCCTGCTTGCGAGTGGTGTTTGCTGTACCTGTTCCGTGGGACTCGGGGGCCCGCCTCTTGCCCTCTCCGTCCATGTAGGAGCTGAGGGCCCTGGAGAAATGCTGGTCCACCACGCTGCTGATGTCCCCCTGGTAGTACGTGAAGAGCACACATCTGGAGCTCAGGTACTCGGCTTCAGGGGCCCCCGCCGGTTTGTCTTTAGGGCCCTCCTCTGACCTGGGGCCGGCGGGGGTGTAGGAGGACGGGGCCGGGGAGGACAGCGAGGAGGCGGTGGAAGAGGAGGAGGACGAGGAGGAAGCGCCTGGGCCCCCGGGCAGACCGTCGGGGCCCCTGGAGGTGTCCATGCGATCTCTGCAGTGAGAGGGCGTCACAGCAGCGGGGGCCTGGGGGACACGGGCAGGAGGACACGGGTTTATCTCTGAGAAAAGTCACACTGAACGGCTCGTACCTGAGTTTGAACCATGTTTTAGTTTGAACTTTTTGACACAGAAACAGCCGTGTGCGAGAGTGTCTGGAGTTCGTTGGAGCCATTTTACACCTTTGTACCTCCCACCACCGTGAGGCGCTAGATCTAATGTTCTAATGTAATGACCTGCCAAGCCCCGGGGTTTTAAAAGGTCAATGGTCCGAGCTCAACGGTGCATGACTCCAGATTCACCTTGAACCCGACGAGGTTCTTCCGGTGTCTGTGGGTCGATTGATCATGTGCAGTAGTGTCTTATTTCCTGTGGGCCTGTGCCAACGCAAATGCACGCACAGAGCACAGCCTCGTGTATCATGTGATCACTTTGACCAATCAGAGCGAGAGGATCTAGAGCAGAGCTGAGCCAGAGCTAACGATATAAAAAAAAAATTTAACATATTTAAGGCAACTGAAGGACTTTGAGCTGAGAAAACATTTATGATCTAAAATCACCAAAAAATCCAACATTTTTGAAAGCTGTAGGTGCCATGTCATAGTCAGTCTGGCGCCACCTAGTGCCTTCGCTCAATTTAATTTCTCTACAGCGACTAGGTCAGGAATCAGAATACACTAAACGGTTTGCAAGAACCCTGGGCACCAGCCAATCAGAGAAGAGCCAGATATTCTGTGTTGGCAATGATTCCTGAGCTCGAGGATTTAAAGCCGGAACAAAGAGAATGTTTGGTGAAGAGGAAAGACGTTATTGTCCTTCTTCCTACAGGATTTGGGAAAAGTTTAATATACCATTTAATCCCATTAGCGGTGCATTACATACGTCACGACCAAATAGCAGCGATTGGTTAAATAAAAAAAGTACCCGCCTACCATCGAGCGAACAAATCCTAACGCTGTGAGGTCAGACGGTTTCCACAAAGTGAAACCGTCTGATGAATCAGGCTACGGATTTCTATCCTCTGCACACAAATATTTCTGAACGCTTTTATACTCCATACTTTTTTCTGACACTCTGTTCTAAGTTCGCATTTGAAACACGTCCGCGACACATTTCAGAAAACGTTTGTACAGATCAGTCAGCAGTTTTAATGCAGAATAAGCCTGGAGATTTTGTTTGTGGAGATTTTGTTTGTGGAGATTTTGTTTGTGGAGATTTGGTTGGCTGACAGGGCCGAACACGAGCAGTTTGTGATTACATTGCCTCTATGACAAAAATCCTTTCTTAGCCCAGGAAATTTTTTCCGCTGAAGCAACAGTGAGTGTCACTACAACAACTGGAGAAAGCTACAAACAGCAACAACCTCCAGTTATTTTAATAGATCCATGTTACCTGCTCTAGAAAAAGGAGGAAAAGGTGCACACAGGTGTCGCAGCGTCTTTTGACCGTCGTCTGTGGAGGCTGAATCTGTGTATTTTGGGTGGTTATAAAGTATGCCAATAAATTATCGAGGAACACAGTATTTTTGAGTCTCTTTTATGGAAGACACACGTCCAAAACACCACACACGCTGCAACCACAGCAGACCCGGCACAAGGAAAGTTTCCCCACTACACATTTGTTTCCTTATAGTTCTCCAATCTTTCTTTCTATTTTAAACAGGAGGTGTTTCCTTTTACTTTCTACCATGTTATAATGTCATATTCTAATCAAAAGCATGAAGAGGTTTTCTTATCCATGCATGTTTGAGTAATCTAGAGATCTCTCCCAGGCACGTTTCGATCCTGCACACGGCTCCACCCCCGGCCGACAGTTCTCCATCAAAATACAAGCACGAAATGACACAAAACTGCACGCGCCGACTTCACAAACCCGACGTGATGTGCATTAGGTTCGTTAGTGAGATGAAACGTGAAAAAAACTCTTCTTAAAACTATAAAAGGTAACATGATGATCTAAATATGTTGTATGATAGAAGTCAATACCAAACAGAAATAAAATACTTTGTCTTTAAGCAGCGTGAACCAGACTGAAAGAAAAAAGGTGAATCTGCCAGTAGTTTATGCATTAGTTTACGACTTTATGCACTACAAAATGCTTCATAAAATGGACAGATTATATACGACAGCCTTACATTTCATATTTACTTTTACTTTTACTAAATAATGTATGACGTAAAGAGTGTTTATCTAAATTAGAATCAGTTCAAATCAGGTTCTTTAACACGCAAGACGCTGCAAGAAACGTTAATCCAATATTTTAATCAAATATATGTGTCTTATTTATCAAATTTATCTAATATTTATCCAAAAAGCGTTACTTCTTCCTGTGAGTTAAGCCACCTCTCCGCAGATATGGCTTGTAACTCGGCCCGGTTGCATCACCTGCTTGTTTTCTGCAAATTTAAAGCCACATTGCGGAATATTTCAGGCACAAAATCTCCAGACAAACAATTTACAGCATCGTAAACGTTCATTCGATTGTAGTTGACTGTAGTTACTTAGAAATCTGCTTTAAAGATTTTACAGAGGAATTCTTCTAGGAATACTTCACATTGTCAGTTTGAAATGAGACTTTTATACATTTATACTTTTTTTTTTTATTTTAATTTATTGTGTATTAGTTGTGCATTCCTGTAGTAATTTGTCGTGATTGAGCTGAAATTTTTGTTCATATTTTCGACCTGCAGAGCTACACCGCTATTTCTGTTAATAATACATATTAAAATACTTAAATAGTTGTATTATAGTTTAGTTTCCTTCCTTTTTAATCCCTCGCTGCTCACTGTAAAGCAATTATCGCATGACTTGTAAACAGATGATTCGGATTTGGTCTTCCTGGAGCACGTCTGCGCTAACCTTGTGCCGCGCTGTGTGCCTTTCCAAATGAAGTCATTGCTTGGCTTGTCCGCGCAGTTACAGCACCCTGCTATATTTACTCTACAGACATAACACATGCCGCTGCTCATAAACACGCAATCGATTCTGCGCTAATACTCACCCAATAACGCCAACTTTGCGCACGAACTTTTTCGCCAACGAGCTCGCTGCAAATCCACCTGCATTTACGCAACTATCACAGATTTTACGCAGGGATACTTGCACTTTTAGGGGTCCATTGCTCTATAAAAACAGACTTATAACCTGTCACAGTACGTCACCCACTCCATATTAAAGGCTTGTCTTTGTCTTTTTAATCGCAGATTTCCAGAGACTTAAGTGTTGTTTTTTATATTTGTACTTAATATTTTCATTGCAGACCTAATTTAAAAGCTATACATTAGTAATATGCACTAATATACTAAAATTTACTTGAGGTAACTTGCAAAAAAATGAAAAATATGTGAATATGTGCAAGACAATCTTCGTGCGTAAATCCAGAGTTTTACGCGCAGCCGCTCAAAACCAAATCTTTGCAAATCAAAACATTTTTCATTTAAACATAACCGATTTCTGGCATCCATTTCGACATTTTGACACCGTGTTTAGTTGCAAAGCCGCGGCGTACCTGTAAGCTGTTGATGAAGGCAGGAGCGCTCGGTGCGTACGGTGCGTAATGTCCATAGGCTGGGTACATAACATCCAAACAGCTCATGGTAAACGGGCGCGGACTCTGCAGCTGCGGTGATAGCGACCTCAGCTCAAAGAGGGACCCGCGCGCTCACCATCCGCGTTTCCCACGGAGCAAACAGCGGGAGGAGTCGCGGGAGATTCGCTGGAAAACCAAAAACAAACCCCAAAAAAAAAAATCCTCTGGCGTGTCCGAGCGCTCTTCCCCTTCCACGGTGCGCTCCGGGCAGCTGCCAACGCGCATATGCAAGTTTATGGAGCAGGCACGAGGGTCCTGTCCAGAGCGCGAGCCCTCCCTCCTACCCCCCTCCTCTTCCTCAAACCCCCTCCTCATCCTTACACAACACTAATGACACGGGGCAATTACGCTGTAGGCAAACAGAGTGTCAGAATGTTGACGTTCGGGGCATTACACCATCACGCTGAGGTGCGACTCGGGCTCATCTTTTTTCCCTCCAGTCAAGTGTTTATCTTTGAGTTTTGGCCTCGTCTTGAATTCCCATTAGAAAACAAACCCACAGGACTCGCAGCGCCCCGCGTGGGTTCCAAACTCCAGTTGCATCAGGACGAGTATCCGGTGTAAAGATCAGATCAGATCGTTCACTCCCCGCACCTCCCCGGTTTTGTGTTTTATGGTTACATATGTTATAGTTAAAGTGTCCTGTGTTGTTATTTTCATGCTGTTCTCGAACTGTGTGTCGCAACACTGGAGTTTGGAGAAAAGGCTGGTAATTTCACACTTCACTGGGAAAAAAAGCAGTTTCTAGTTAAGTTAAAATGACTTAAATTACGAACATTTGACTTTATTTTAGTCGATTCAACTTGACAAGTGAAATTATCGACCAGTAAAATAAGTAGGGCTGGGTGTTATTCAGAAGCTGCCGATACGATACATACATCGATACACAGGCCACGATACGATATATATCTTGATAGAGTGAACTTTCGATTCGATACGATATATTTCAAATCGATTTGATACGGTTCAAAGAAAAATTATGTGTAAATCATGGCTGTGATACAAAAAGTCTTTGTTAAACTACTTCTTGTGCAAAGTGAATATGAAACACAAACATTTTAATCATCAAAATAGTGAAAATGTCAAAATGTTTCGCATAAAAAAAAGTTTCCTTCCTCTGAAGAAGCAAAAAACTGTAGCGCTGTAACAAAATAATTGAGTAAAATACACCAAAAATACTCGATACGATATATGGATATTTCAATATTTTTGCACATCCCTAAAAATAAGTGTGTTTTTCTTAATTCAAGCAACATTCGATTTTGTTTCTTATTTTAAGTGCAGCAAGATGTATTTTCAGATTTTAACTACAAAAAGTCTTGTTCCACTGGCAGATCGTTTTTAATCGCATATTTCCGGAGACACAAGTATTGTTTTTATTTATATTTCTACTTAATATTATCATTGCAGACCTAATATAAAAGCTATACATTAGTAATATGCACTAATATACTCAAATTTACTTGACATGACTGACAAAAAATAAAAAAAATATGTGAATTTGTGAATGTGAATGTGATTTTTTTTTTCTTATTTTAAGTGCAACAAGATGTATTTTCATATTTTAAGTACAAAAAGTCAGATAATTTTTAGCCCGTCTGGCGCCCCCTAGTGCCTCCGCTCAATTTCATTTCTCTCCAGCGACTAGATCAGGAATCAGAATACACCAGACGGCTCACAAAAACCCCGAAGAGCGAGTTCGGGCACCGGCCAATCAGCGAAGAGACATACATTCTGTGTTGGCAACGATTCCCGAGATCGAGGATTTAAAGCCGGAACAAAAAGAATGTTTGGTGAATTTTTATCAAGGGGAAAGACTTTAATGCCTGTTGTCGAAGTTTTCAGCTTGTCCAAGAAAAGAGTGGAAGTAAAAGGCGATGTCTTACGCAGGAGAAGTTTATTTACCATCAATAACACGAGCCGGGGAAACTTGAAAAATGAACAGTGTGATTTCAAACGTGGACATACGGTGACATACAGAGTGTTCAAGCCTCTTTGACTCTGATTCAAGGAGGTTTGTAAAGCAAGGACTTAAATCAGGACTAAACCAGGATTAAACCAGGACTAAACCAGGATTAACCAGGACTAAACCAGGACTTAAACCAGGACTAAACCAGGACTAAACCAGGACTGAACCAGGATTTAAATCAGGACTAAACCAGGACTAAACCAGGACTAAACCAGGACTTAAATCAGGACTAAACCAGGACTAAACCAGGTCTAAACCAGGATTAAACCAGGACTAAACCAGGATTTAAATCAGGACTAAACCAGGACTAAACCAGGATTAAACCAGGACTAAACCAGGACTTAAATCAGGACTAAACCAGGACTAAACCAGGATTAAACCAGGACTAAACCAGGACTAAACCAGGACTTAAATCAGGACTAAACCAGGACTAAACCAGGATTAAACCAGGACTAAACCAGGACTGAACCAGGATTTAAATCAGGACTAAACCAGGACTAAACCAGGACTAAACCAGGACTAAACCAGGACTGAAACCAGGACTAAACCAGGACTAAACCAGGACTTAAATCAGGACTAAACCAGGACTAAACCAGGATTAAACAATATGACACTAACAGTAGATGGACATAATTTAAAGCAGCAGTGTCTCTTATAAAAATCATTTTTCTATCAATAATATTTTTAATAAGTAAAAACTGGGCTTTTAATTTTCTTTTTGCAGACAAAACAAAACAGCTCGTGTTCAGATCCTCGTCTTTTCTTCTCTACAGCAACAAACAAAAGTCTGTTCATGGAGACTTGGGCTCAACAGACAATTTGAAGAAAACAAACAAGAATTTTCAGGATGTGGTTGGTTCATTCATGTAGTTTTAAAAAGCAGGACAATATCAAGTAATCCAAAATATTCAGATTACATTACTCACTTTAAGTAATTTAATGGATTATGTTACAAACTACATTTTGGTGTGTGTAATCTGTAATCTGTAGGGGATTACATTTTAAAAGTCACCTTCCCAACACTGTTCTACCGTCGAGCGAACGAAATCTAAAGCTGCGAGGTCACACGGTTTGTACGAAGTGAAACCGGCTGATGAATGAGTCTAGATCATTTTACTTTTCAAGTGAAATTGACTCAAATCATGATCAAACTTTCTTAATTCAAGTCATCTGAACTTGACAAGTTTCAGAAACATCCCAAGTAGGGATGGGCATGATTAATCGATTAATCGATAATTGATCATTAAGAATTTCATCGATTACGTTCATTTTAATCGACAAACCGAATGTATGTTTCTGTGTGTGTCGTGACCAAACAGGTGTGTACATGTGTCTCTGCATCAGAAGGAGCGAGACACAAACAGTGGGTCAGTCTGTAACGAACCGAAGCACAAATGTGGATTTAACCAGGATTTGTAGAAGAAATTCCACACTTTCCGTTGCGTTGGGACAAGTGTGAGTCCATGTGCACAGTGGATAAAGCAGCACATATGTTTCTGTGTCCAGTGGGAAAAAGTTTTTCCAGGTGAGAGTCGCTCAATGTGGATGACGAGGCCCCGCCCCCCTCCCCCCGTACGCTGTCCTGGTTTTGACAAACACAAATCTGGTCACACTGACCTGTATTCACCTGAGTCATGTCTTTTAATCCAACACAAGTTGAACCACATCAGCGACACAAGAGCTGGAGTTTTATCTTCACTTAGTTTATGTAAATTAGTGATGTGGTTTTAAGTTTTGTTTCTGTGAGATTTGAACAAAACTGAATTAAACACATTATAATGTCAAACAGCTGATGTGGATCTAGAGTCGTTATGTTTATATGTCGTAAAGTTGAATTTATTGATGCAGATTAGTGCAGATAGTAATAATAATGATGATCATTTTAATATGGTCACTCCCCCCAGTACCTTAAGGAACTCCTCACTCCCCAGACCCCCTCACGCTCCCTCCGCTCTGCAGCCACCAACACTCTCCAAACCCCCAGAACCAAACTTTGCACCATGGGAGATCGGGCCTTCTCCTCTGCTGCTCCAAGGCTTTGGAACACTCTCCCCGACCACCTGAGAGCCCCACAATCTATTTCTGTTTTTAAACAAAATCTTAAAACATACCTTTTTACTAAAGCCTTTTGTTAATTGTATTTTACTCTTGTTTTATCTTATAAATTCCTGCACTGGTTTTAGCTTGATCCACTGTTTCTGATGCACCTTTTTACTCATTGTTTTTACCTGTAGCACTTTGAGATTATTTTATGTAAAGTGCAATATAAATAAAATGTATTATTATTATTATTATTATTATTATTATATAAACACGTTAATGATTAATCGATAATCGATCGTTAATTCTTCCGACGATCGATTAAGAAAATTTCATCGAATGCCCGTCCCTAATCCCACGAGTTGTGTTTTGTTTCATTTGAGTAATCCTGCATTATTAGTCTGTCTACGTCTCCACAAAGCTCAACATGAAGCTCAAAACTGTTACTTTTTGATCAGTAGAGATTGTAGAAGTAAAATGATCCATATTATTCCCGTGAAGTGTGTGAAGGAGTCTCCAACTTGTATCTCAGGAGCTTTCAGTAGCTCTTCATCCCCTTCCAAGCAGCTCGCCAAGGGATTTCGGAATTATACCACTGTGCTGAATAACAAAAACAAAACAAAAAGTTAATTAAATGCCTCTTACCATTTGTAAATGTATAAATTTGAAGCCCAATTTTGTGCACTAATAACTCGACAATGGTTTATGTTTTATAGACGTCTAACTGCGCTCAAAGTCTCGCACTCTTTCTTCGTTTTTGTTTCGTAAAGGCACACTACCGCTCAAACGTTTTAGAACACCCTCATTTTTCCAGTTATTTATTGAAATTCAAGTCCAGTGAAGAGCTTGAAATGTACAAAGGTAAAAACTGAACAGACAGAGGTTAAAAAAAAAAAAGATAAAAGAACAAAAGACAAGTCCAAGCTCTGCCAAAACGACCTCAGGAAAAAAGAACAAGACGGTAAAGTTTGAAAACCTGGAGTGTCCAGACTTAAAC